GGCCCTCGAAGGAAGCATGCTCAAGGGGTAGTTTGAAGACATTGACTGGACTTATTCGGGGGGTCTCTCGGTGCTTCTCTGTGATGCGGGAAGGGGTTGCTAATGTGGTTTTCACCTGCACACTGTTCTCAGTCCTTCAGCACTGTGCGGTGTCATGAAGGTTTCGTGAGTTTGACCAGTGGCGTCTACCTTCACAACCAGCTCCCCCTTCTGGAGAAGGGCTTCCACTAACGCCTCGCCTTGCAGTCGCTCATTACCCAGCCTGGTGCTTCGGGCCAGCCTGAATCGCCTCTTGGTTGATGCGGTGGCGAGGACCGTAGCTAGCCACAAGGTAACCGGGAGTCGCTCCCCATGGACAAGGCCGCCATGGAAGATTTCCGAGAAGATGTTGCGAGCATAGTCTACTGGGTCCTCTTCCTCGCCGTCCTCGAGCGGGGGGGACATTGTAACTATGGCCCCCGCCCAAAGTGAGACGAAGTTTCGGGCCTCAGCAGGCGGAACCGCGTCCAGTTCAAGGAGCTTGCTCAGGATGTCGTCCAGCCTATCATTGTCGATGGGGTCGTACACGAAGTCGTACGAGGAGAAGCAAGAACCGAGAGCAGGAGAGTTCAACCATTTCCTAATCTCTGCGGTGTCACTTGGCTCAAGGTCGAGTCTTCCCAGTGCTAACTCAAGAGCGTCGTTGTCTAGGGAGTTAACCATTAGGAAATGATAGTGATACTAACTATAATAGAGCTACTATCAACATCATAAACCGATAATCTGTTTAATAATCCCGCAACCGGGGGCACGTGCACAAGCGTTGAGCGCTTAACCTATGCGTGCCAGCGGAGCGATCGATGTCATGTTTGCCGAAAAAGAGATTGCCTGCAATGAAGGGGCCCTTCCGATGGCTTGGTGCAGTAAACCCAAACCGCACAAGTTAAATACCGATACGGAGGGCGCGTCACACAGTGTGTCTCCGTCACACACGCGAATTTCATCCGCGGTGCGTCCTCCACCCTTATCCAGGGTGCGTCGTGAAACGACCCGTGCGGGCGAACGTCGCCGCAGCTTTGCAGAACCAGACGGCGTATGCCGTGTACGATTTCTCTCAACCCAGCCCGCCACTCCCGGGAGCAAGCATCGGTTGGTCGACCGTGCGCGGCGTCGCATCGCCGGCACGTGCCCGCCGGAGAGCAACGTGCGCGGCGCCAGCAGAGGCGCTCGTCGGACTAACTCGATGCTTCGAGGGCTGGAAGCCACAGACACCTCCTGTCTTCCAGCCCACCAGACCCACGCGCCCAGCAGTGGGATATTTAATAAGTGTTAACTAGTTAACACAAGTTAAATACCGATACGGAGGAGGCGTCACACAGTGCGTCTCCGTCACGCACGTGCATATCATCCGCGGTGCGTCCTCCACCCTTACACTAGGAATAATTCCCCAGTGGGGAATCCCCACTTTCAGCCACCCTGGAGACCTGTGTATAGGCTCTGGCAGCAGCCTCACACGGGAGTGCATGTCTTCGGACTGCACACGTTCGGACCGGTGACCGCGCACGCATATATGCAAAAGCTTGCGTGATTCACGCGCACTAATACGCGGTGGCAGATATGAGCGCTTTCTGTTGTGAAGATACACATGAAATACAACCGAAGCACCAAGAAGCGTGAGATGGAGGTCAATAAGGGCTCTTAGGAAACCACCATACGTGAGAAGGTGGACCTTGTACCTCATAGGCGCAGTTGCCCTGAGCTAACCCCCATACTGTTCTCCACTTCCGGATTCCGCCCCAAATCGCGGCCTTGTGGAGGAACTCAACCCTTCTAAAGCAGACTTCCGCCTTAGAAGGGTTGTGAACTAAACGTTGTGAGCTTCCGTTATGAACTGAGCTAATCCTTCAGGAGTATCTTTGTTCATTTATCTCTCACATGAACATTCGACTCATCCCAATGGAGTTGCTAGTCGTGGTGATGTTCGGAATTGTCGTCGCCCCTATTCCCGAGAAGGCTGACTTTAGTACTACCTACGACAGCAAGCCAAACTTAAGTTGTTTCCAAGTGACATTCATTAAAAGCGATCCTTCCGGGCCCAGAGTGAGTCTCTTCGCCGAGTGCCCCTTAGGAGACGTGATGGCCCTCCAACTGAAGGTGATCGAAAAGCCAGAAAATGTTTTTACCCTGGATACTACGGAAGCTAAGACCAAGAAGGCGTATGAGGAATTCATCAGTAAAAGTAAAGCAAGATGTGACGATGTTGTTGAGATTAAAATGGGAGATATGTCGAAGATTACCTACGAACAGTCCCAAGGCCAGTACGAGACTGTGGACGTGTCACTTGGATCAGAAACAAGACAGCTCATGCCTGACAAGTGTCCCTATTAGATATACCCGATCTATGACGGGATTGTTATTATTTCAGCTTTTTTTACATATTGGTGCTACTGTTTACTTAAACTCCCTAGCAGCGTACAGTGGAGAATGTTTAGTCTTACGGAGTTATGGAACTCGACACCATGTCACTTAGTTGGATATCAAATCAGAGTCTTAGCTTCAAGGCAGATAGTAGAATGTGGCTGAAGAGTAGAGGGGGTTGGTCTACATCGCAGTGCTTGTCAGTTGAGGAAATCCTCAGCCGGCAAGTGCTTAGTCACTATAAGTCCCACCTAGGTGGTACTATAGTGCTCCTCTACTCGAGCAAAAAAAAATATGTATATCACTTGATATATTTGGTCTTAAGTATTATCCACAATGTCTTTACTAGCTCAAATTGTGCGACTCATCGCACCACTCAGCTATTGTGTTTTCCATTCAGTTCGGTTGTGTGGCTTGTCGCCCATACTTCTGCCGCTTGGCTCGTTTAAACGCCACTTCTGCTACGCAGAGCTCAACTTCACGCGTAATTGGGTCGGATAGACGATAGAGTACCGACAGTACATTCAGATTTGCGCTAGGCACTCCGAGATTCTTTTCTCCGATAGGAAACGAGTATCCGATATTCGGGAGTCGTGATGTTGTGTTGATTCCAGCGAGCTGTTATGTGGTCTATTTCTACCGGTGTAGGGGTCTTAGAATGTACTAAGACTATGGGATTCTCGGAGGGATCCTCGTATGCCAAGCTTGTACAAGAATCTCGTTCATGGAACGTGGAAAGGCAATCCGCTGCATGCGACATTAGCGTGACGGTAAAACTCATACCGTATAAGCATATGGTGCCTTCGTATATTTCGAGGGAATACACGGAGTTTCTACGGTGAAGTGGAGGGATGACTTTCAGAGGTCTTTTTCCCGACACAGTCGATAACAATAGCTCTACGAACACAGCCCAGTGATGCCAAAGAGTGGATAGTTCGCGTGCGCGATATCAGGGTTCTCCGTTGTGATACTTGTTAATAAGTAGGCTCTCAGGCATTTTTCATGCTGTCATAGGGAACCACAGTATGCGATTTGTATGATACGAATTAGTGGGGAATCCTCACTAACTCAGTCACGAAGCAGTCTGACATCGAGGATACTAGAGGATAAAGACTTCCACTTCAACCGCTATCCGCCATATCTGATTCGATACTGGCGTATATCGGCAATTATGCTATTCGCCGGATAACGTCATTGCAAATAATATCCGGTATTCGACTTGGGTTATAGCTCGAGTTACCCTCGAAATGTACAATGATATATACAGTTTATCGTGTTGTCACGAAGTAGTCCGCTAAAATATGAGCTATGAAGTATAACGCTCGGTAGATACTTGATAGATATGTCAAAGCCACTGTGGCTTTGCCACTGGACGAAACTGGATTGAATTGGGATCCACCATTTAACCTAGTACAAAAACTTAGATCAACCGAACCATTGGTTCGGAACCAATACCCCATTACTGTCCCTTGTGTCACAAAGTTGTGCAACACGCAACTTACGCTAGAATTCCTACTACTATAATGACTATAATATACTCGGTTCGAACTGTTGATTTTTTTCCTTGATCGCACTATCTCTGAGGTTTTGGCTGCTCCATGCTCCGATGCGTCGAGTACCATAACGTATGGTGTTTAAGTGCCTTCTTTGCGCACTCGAGATTCAATCCACATATCCGATTCGAGTGACTCGAATCGTCAGTGATAGTGTGTACCGAAGCGTCGTATTAAGAGGTAAATAGTACGTTATCAGAACTTCTCATCTACACTTCCTAGCCTTGAGTTCCGTCTCATCGAAGAGCAGTGCGCTTAGCCGATAATGAGCCCAATAGGAATTCAATGGAAAAGGGCAGCTTCCTGAAGTATTGAGTGCTCCGTTGACGGGCTGAGGGGTAAAAGGTCTCTTACCATACTAATTCCTCCAGAAATTGCGGGTGAGGCGGCCTGAGGCCGCCGAGTCGGCGGCGGCGACCTTACTGAGCCCATACAGTTGGCAAGTAGCAAAATTACATTTGCGAATGAGGACCCCAATTAAGCGGAGGTAGTCGAATTGGGGAATCGCTTTCGCGAACAAAGTTCGCCCGACAAGCACATCGGTTCTATCATGAGGGAATGCAATGTCACGGATTAGGTTCTAATCATTAGGACGGTTTTACAGGTAGCTGCACAGTGTAGATTTCATCGTCGAAACTGCAGGCGGATATTGATGTTCTTCTGAGAATGTGATTCCCTTTGTTCGCAAAACTGGTCGCCGACACTGCTAAATAGAGTCTATTTAATAGATAGTTTCTGGCTGCAAACTCGTGATTACATATGACTCAATGTTGGAGCATGCATCAGAGCGGGTATAAGGCACAGTACTATGGTTGAACGAGAAATGCAGCATTTCTCGCATTTCAAATGCTACACCATACCAGTTATGGCATAGCTGTGTCTGCTCGATTGTATACTACTACTACTACTACTACTACTACTACTACTACTACTACTACTACTACTACGAAAAGTACAAAGAGACAAGTTTGCTAAGCATCCCATCGGGAACGGATTTCGAGCAAATTAGCGAAACGCTGAGATATATTCCTACAGCATCTACCTTAGAAAAGAGCAAATAGCCGGACCGTTAAAACACCGCAACATTGTAACATAGCGACAAGTGATAGTTTCAAACTATTAGTTTGTATAATCATGAAACAACATCATAAACAAGCAAACCTTGAAACTCTCAAGTTGAAAGGTGTCGAGCTACCTTACTGCGATGCAAGACATATGAAACAGCGAATGAGATAAATTTGACGGGATAACGAAAAGGTGCGAGCAAGGAACGTCTCAGCCGCTGTTCAAAGTAATCCGGGAAAAAATACAATGCAGCAAAGTAGCAGCAGAGAAGCAATTCCAAATTTGCTACTTTCATCATTTGCTTGCTGAAATCGATATTACAGCATTTCCAGGTCATTCAACTATTATGCTCGAATTTTTGGTAAATTTGCCCACTTCTTGACAAGAAGTTCTTGTGAAAAGTGCCCTTCCTCACGATTGTGAGAATGTCATTCTCAGAAGGATACCTGACCGTATAGCGGATGCTTCTCATAGAGGCAGTACCGAATACTTAGTAACCTACTACCCACTCCGTGTGGGCCACTTGGCAATACAAGTGGATATGAAGTTCGGAGTTTGGTAGTATCAGTGGGCATGAAACCCCTAGCCTCCGAGTTGTGGAAGGGCGCGTGTCGACTCACCAGTGCCATCTGGGCACTGTGGAGGATGACACGCAAGGTACACTCAGGATACTCAGGATAGTAAGCTTCTGTCGTAAGCCACTGAAGCTTGCTATCTGGAGTGCCCCTAGGACCTACATCGGCTAACAAATATATATATCACGCTTAACACATATACTACTCCAGGTTGCCAAGACAGTCTGGCTTATGTGACTAGCTCGGCAGCTGGAAGGACTGAGGTTGTCCGTTGTGCCGGCAGCGATTCAATCGCTGCGATTGTGTCAATCGCTGTCCCAAATCAGGCTTCGCCGAAAGACAACTTTCTGGCACGGTTTCAACCGCGCTACCCTTTTCCTAAGCATACTACGCCCTGTAGAGTTAACTCTAGCAGAATGCTACCGCATTAAGGGGAGACGAGTATGGTCCGACCTTCATTACGTACACAGGAGGAAGAGTAGGGTGCGATGCTATGTAGTGATGTAGTGTGATTTCTATTCTACTGTGCGAAGGGAAATTGTCCTCTGCCAAATTGGTTTTGCCAATGTGAGCTTCGCAGGGTTGATCTACTTCTCATCAGTGATGAGAGGGGATCCCCCGACACATCTGTGATGAGTCATCATAGATGTGTATTAGAACTTGTACAAACCAGTCACCGAAGTTTTCCATCTTCATAGCACCTCGCCTTCTCAACCAAAGGTACGACCTCCGAGCCGGACTCGGCGAGTCCCATCAGTCCAA